ACACTCCTCTCCAGACTATAAAAAAGACTACTTGTGCACACGCCCTTCTTGCAGAAGTCAACACAGGAACGAATGTCAGAGAACATTGTTATGAGCTGGGCAGGCTGCATTGCTGCCAAGCCTTATCTGTGTTTATTGCTGCCCAAGCTTGTCTGTGCCGGTTTGCTGCCAAGGACCTGTCTTTCTGTTAATTAAATGCCGTAACTTATCTTTGGCTCGGAGTGTGCTTGGATGTGGAACGAGGGGGGTCAGAACACTAATCTATCTATCTAATCTATCTATCTAAATACTTCCCTACCTGCATCCATCCATCCATCCACCCACCCCCTCACACCACACACACACCCCTTACCTACCTACCTATCTTAAGGAGAAGAACAACTCTTGAATATTTGCTACCTGTGATCACAACAAAGCTGCTGACATCTGTTGTTATTTTAAATAACACTAATCTTTTTGTTCTAGCAGCTGGTTATTCCAGATCCTTAGTCAGAGAGCTGCCATTTTCAATGGCCTCCTAGACACTGCAGTGGCAACCAGGGAGGGAAGGAAGAAGAAAGATAAGTCCTAGAAGGGCCCAGCTATTCTCTGCTACCAATGAAAGAAGAGGTTTAACTATTTTGGATTGTACAGATGGCAGGGAGAAACAATATGGGACAGTTTGGGAATTAAATTGAATTGTTCTAACACAGCACTGACTGATCTTCAGATGATACACTACTTCTCTTGCTAGGTAGGTCTTGTGAAGCCAATCCCAGTCCAGATTTTCATGTTCACAGGAGAATTGAACATACAGCCTTTCCATACAGAAATCTAATATTAGTTCCCCCCCCCAAAGTTATCTTTATGTTAACTGCCAAAGTTAAAAGCCAGAAGAGCAGAATATCCTTTTTATTTGATAACAGGCCACTAGAAACCCTTGTCAATTTTTTTGCAATTTAACCCTCTATTCCTGTTTGGAGACATACCATCATGGTATGGCTATATTTCTGGAATTTTATAAGGAAGAATGGAGGCCTTTTTCAGCAAAACAATTCTACATGTTTTTAAAACTCTTTTCAGTCTGAGCATGCATCAAAATTAATGCAAGCACCACAAGCGTGTTTAATTTTACCCTTTGTTTTAGTTTTGAGCACGGGGGAAAATTGGTTTCAGGGTCCAATTTCCCTTCCCTGTTTTAATATACTTGTATCATTTCATGTCACAGAAAAAGGAAACATTTTGACTATGAAACACGTGAGCGGGAAGGAGTATTACTGCAGAATATTTTAAAATGTCCCCCTTTAGTAAAAACTGATCCTCTAGCTGGGCAAAGGGAAAAGAACCCTGATTCCCTATTCTATATAGGATATAACATCACTATTTCCTCAAATGGGGGGGAAAAATGATAGACAGTACCTGGGATCATCTTCAAATATGTGCTGTGTTCCATTGCCATGGTGAACATCCCAGTCTAGTATCATAACCCTGAGAAATAAAACCAAAATTAGGTCAGTAAATCAAACTCCCTGGTTCGGTTCAGTTAAAATATATGTTAACTGTTATGGAGCTCCCAGAATTACAATCCCCACTCCCAGGAGAACTCTTGGGGAAGAAAATTAAAGGACTAAATCTCCTTTAATTAGTCAAAAAAACCCATCATGTTCTTATTGCGTATATTCACCTCAACCGCCTCTGGACCAAGCGCTGGGCATAGCGTGCTGCCAAAGCCACTGAATTGAAGAAGCAGAAGCCACAGGCAGCATCTGATTCCGCATGGTGTCCAGGCGGGCGGACAATGGCCACAGCATTATGAGTCTAGGGACCCAGAAAAAGAAACAATAGGGGATTGGTACTGTATTGAAAATTCAGGAGAGCAATGGGACCTGTGCAGAGAATTTCTGCCAAGCTAAAAAGGGATCTACAGAACATGCCGCTTGCTCAGTGGTGGGTTTCAATTTTTTTTTAGAACCTCTTCTGTAGGGGTGGCTTTGTGGGAGTGGCTTGCCGGCCATGTGACAGGGTGGGAGTGGCTTGCCGGTCATGTGACTGAGTGGGAGTGGCTTGGCAGCCATGTGACCGGGGTGGGTGTGGCCAACTTGTAAAATGTGGTGAAACTCACTTAACAACGCTCTTGCTTAGCAACCAAAATGTTGGCTCAGAAACTCTGGCATTT